TACACCCATACAGTTTGGAAGCTTGATAATGTTTGAAGGAGAAGCTAGCATGTTGACACTCAAGATTGTTATTCCCATTATTTTGATAGACTCTGTTTCTCTAGTACTGTGTTATAATCAAATTTGTATTGATTTTATGAATAAAGAACTTTTTCAATGTGACTGCTTAAAAATGGAGCAATTTTCTATTGTATAGAGTGAAAATCAAATTTGTTTATTGTACAAGTCTTTAAAAGGGAGATGTTAGGAGTAAATTGTATATGCTGAATATATAGACCTCATTTATAACCCTAAATGATTCTGTATTTTTGAATTATTACTGAGTAACTGATAAAACTTTAATTAGCTGAAAAGCAGACATCATTGTTTCTATAAAATGAAATAGCTGGGGAGCTTTTCAGTTTAAGATGTCAGTTTAAGATGTAACTCCAACAAATTTTCTTTCTATAGGAGGGTAACTCTAAAGATTCTAATTATAGAACTCCCATTTTCTGGATTGTATATGCTAAATATGTTGTATTGCTAGGGTAGTTATTAAAGTTTTTATGTAACAACTGAATAAACCTTGAGTTGGTCCAGAGGATGAAGAAAATAATTATCAGTAAAGATTTAAACTGCCGGCTGGGCGCTGTGGCTCACTCCTGTAATCCCAGCACTTTGGGAGGACCAGGTGGGCGGATCACGAGGTCAAGAGATCGAGACCATCCTGGCCAACACGGTGAAACCCTGTCTCTGCTAAAAATACAAAAATTAGCTCGGCGTCATGGCGCGCGCCTGTAGTCACAGCTACTCGGGAGGCTGAGGCAGGAGAATTGCTTGAGCCCGGGAGGCGGAGGTTGCAGTGAGCCGAGATCTAGCCACTGCACTCCAGCCTGGCGCCTGGCAACAGAGTGAGACTCTGTCTCAAAAAAAAAAAAAAAAAGATGTAAAACTGCTACTCTGTGTGAATCCCCTCTTACAGCATTTACTTGATGAAAAAATAGTGGCTGATAACAGAAGCCCAGTTTATCCAAGAGTTTTGGGAAAAAAGGCATAAGCTGTACCTTAAGACCTTTTTTTAAAGAAATTTAATTTAATTTTTATTTTTTTTAAGATGGGGTTTCACCGTGATGGCCAGGCTGGTCTTGAACTCCTGACCTCAGGTGATCCACCCACCTCGGCCTCCCAAAGTGCTAGGATTACAGGCGTGAGCCATCGCGCCCGGACTAATTTTATTATTTATTTATTTATTTATTTGAGACAGCCTCGCTCTTTCGCCAGTCGCCAGGCTGGAGTGCAGTGGCGTGGTCTCGGCTTACTGCAACCACTGCCTCCTGGCTTCAAGCAATTCTCCCACCTCAGCCTCCCAAATAACTGGGACTACAGCCATGCGCCACCACTCCCAGCTAATTTTTGTATTTTAGTATAGAGGGGGTTTCACTATGTTGGCCAGGATGGTCTTCATCTCTTGACCTTGTGATCCGCCGGCCTCCGTCTTCCAAAGTGCTGGGATTATACAGGCGTGAGCCACCGCGCCCGATCTCTTAAGACTTTTTTCTCTAGATACATATATATATATACATACACTTTTTTTTTTTGAGCTGGAGTCTCACTCTGTTGCCCATCCTGTGTTCAAGCAGTTCTTTGCCTCAGTCTTCCGAGCAGCTGGGATTACAGGTGCCCGCTACCACGCCCGGCTGATTTTTGTATTTTTAGTAGAGACGGGGTTTCACCATCTTGGCCAGGCTGGTCTTGAACTCCTGACCTTGTGATTCACTCGCCTCTGCTTCCCAAAGTGCTGGGATTACAGGCATAAGCCACCTTGACCGGCCTCCTAGATACATATTTTTAAGACTACTAATTGTATTTGCATTAGTCATATTTAGGAAATGCCTAAATGTGAGGAATATGAATTATAAACTAGGATATTAGGATATCACTCTGTAGATGATAGGAAATGATTTATTCTTATTCTTATT